TACAGGTATAGTCCTCAAGGCCAGACGCCTAAACCGCAAGACGAACTCCGATGGTCAAATTAATTGGATCCCAACACAAACCGTTGTTCTAACTTTTCAAGGTCAAACCCTTCCTGAGAGAATATTCTCTTGTCATAGTTCCCTACGCGTTGAAACTTACCAACTCCCTACAATTCAGTGCCTTAACTGTTGTAGGTTTGGTCACGTAAAGTCACAATGCCGATCGAAGCCTAGGTGTTTTCGTTGTAGTCTAGCCCATTCTGGTGATGAGTGTAATATCCCTGAAACAGAGTCATTATGTTTATTTTGTACTGCCTCACACTTTGCGACCAACAAAGCTTGCCCTGAACATAATCGACAAAGAAATATAAAGAGTTGTATGTCTCAAGAGAGCATTTCTTATCTCGAAGCATCGGCTCGGTTTAGACCTATCAATGGCAAAACTTTTGCAGATTCTGTAAAAGCAACCCCCTCCTCTTTATCCCAGCCCATTACTTTACCTTCCCAAGTTTCCCGTCAGACTACATCTTACAGGAAAACTGTATTTCTCCCTCCTCGCTCTAGACCAACATCAGGAAAATCCTTTGATAAGGCGGCCCATGAGGCCATTACTTCCAATTTACCCTCCTCTTTACCCAATGGTTGTGCCGTAAGCTCCCCTTCCCTTATCAACAATGAAGTCTCCCCAAATGAAAATCTTCTTGACTGCTTATGGGCAGTCATTTGTAATATGTTATCCAAGTATGATGACATCCCCATACCGTCCCACGTTGCCCAAAAAATTAATTTGCTCCACTCATTCGTCACCAAAAATGGCGAATCTGGTAATTCAGTGGAACTGTAACAGTATTCGCAGTAAAAAATCAGAATTAACCTTTCTTATCAATAAATTCGCTCCATCTATTCTAGCCATTTCGGAGACTTGGTTATTGCCGGGTTCCCGCTTTAGGGTTTCTGGGTATCGATGTCTCCGAGATGACAGGGATGATGGCTATGCTGGCTGTGCCTTTTTGGTCAGCCGATCCCTCACCTTCCACTCATTATCTCTTCCTCATTGTGATGGTATCAATGCTGTTGCTATGAGAGCTTTTAATATCTCGTTTATTTCTGTTTATATTCCCCACCCCCATATCGACCTCATTTCTGATATACGTTCTATTATCCTTTCGGTTCCTCCTCCTGTTGTCATGTTGGGTGATTTCAATGCCCACCATGTTTCTTGGGGTTGTCATTCCTCAGATTCTTTTGGGTCCCTTCTACTAGATTTACTCGATGATATAAACATAAGTGTCTTGAATAATGGTTGTCCTACGAGAAGGAGTCTTCCATCTCAGAATCCCGCTAACGCAGTGGATTTATCACTTTGTTCTCCTGATCTTTTCCCTTTTCTATCCTGGCGTGTTTTTAAGAGCACTTGTGGGAGTGACCACTTCCCCATTTTAATTGATCTCCCAACCAATTTAAGGAGCGTTACTCGCCCTTCCCCTCTTTTAAAATTTAAACTGAATCAGGCCAATTGGTCAGACTTTTCATCTTCTATTGACTCTAAGATAGCTGCGCTCCCCGCAGTTTCTGTTGAAAACTGCCTATCTTCATACAATGATTTTGTCAACTCCCTCACCTCATCTGCCAGTTTACATATTCCACTCAAATCTTCTACACAAAGGAAAATTTCTCCTCCTTGGTGGGATTCCGAATGTACTGAGATGATTCGAAAAAGAAAAACGGCAGAAAGGTCATACAGTATTTGCATGACCTTGGAAAATTTTTTAGTCTACCAACAAGCTTCTGCAGCTGCTCGCAGACTTCTTAATAATAAGAAACGTCTTGGTTGGCATAAGTTCTGTGAGAGCATGTGCCCTGGTACCCCTTCGTCTGTTGTTTGGAGGCAGATCAGAAGATTCCGTTGTTCCCTCAATTCTTATGATGTCCCTTTTAATGATCCGTCTAGCTGGATTACCTCCTTTGCCGACAAATTGGCTCCTCCATCAGTCCCTTTTTATGATTGTCTTCCTTATAAGTATAATTCTTACATCCCCTCTTCAAACAGTCTAGATTGTCAATTCTCCTTGGAAGAACTTAACAAAGCATTAAATGGTCTCTCTGACTCTTCCCCTGGAGAAGATGGAATCCCTTACTCATTCCTCATAAATTCTTCATTAGGCACTAAGAGGTACTTTCTAGATTTAGTAAACTGTTTTTTCGATCTTGGAATTATTCCTGAATCGTGGAACAGACAAATCGTCATTCCGCTTCTAAAACCTGGCAAAGATCCATCAGATTTCTCTTCATACAGACCTATTGCTTTGTCTTCTACCCTTTTAAAAATTATGGAACATTTGATTAAAATTCGTTTAGAATGGTTTTGTGAAAGTAACAATATCTTTGCAAAATCCCAGTTTGGTTTCAGGAAAGGCTTAAGTACGATGGATAGCCTAAGTATAATAACGACCGACATTCGCATTGCTTTTAAAAAGAAACAGTTCCTGGTGGGTGTTTTCTTGGATATCGCATCTGCGTATGACCACGTGCTGGTTCCAGTGCTCAGGCAAAAAATGCTTCAGCTGAGTATTCCTGAGAAGTTGGTACGTTTTGTTTGCAATGCAGTTTCGAATCGTTATATTATTATAAGATCTCAAAATACGGAGCTGTCTCCTAGATCTATTTGGAGGGGCTTACCTCAAGGTTCTGTTTTGAGTCCCCTTCTGTACAACATTTACACCTATGACCTGGAGCTTGTTGTGAATTCCTTCTGTCAGATTCTTCAATACGCGGACGATGTAGCCTTATACTTTTCATCAAATTCTATTGAAGAGGCATCATCACGCCTAAATTCGGCTTTGGATTATTTGGGTGATTGGTTAAATGATCATGGTCTCTCTATTTCTGTGCCCAAATGCTCGGCAGTCACATTTACTACAAAATACAAGGTTCCACGGTGTAACATTTCATATAAAGGGTCCTTGGTATCGTGTTGTAAGCAAGTAAAATTTTTAGGCCTTATTTTAGACTCAAAGTTAAACGGTGTTCCTCATTTTAACCATGTGATTAAAAAAAGTGAGAAGGGTGTTAATGTTCTCCGTTCATTATCTGGTGTGAGGTGGGGAGCACACCCCTACTCGCAAAAGCTTTTATACAATGCTGTGGTACGAAGTCATTTTGATTATGGCACCTTCCTTTTAGATCCTGGCAACAAGCAAGCCCTTGATAAAATTTCCAAAATTCAATCGAAATCTTTACGCATCATCCTTGGTGCTATGAAATCCTCTCCCATCAATGCTCTCCAAATAGAATGTGTTGACCCCCCCCTGTATTTACGTAGACAATTTTTAAGTGACCGCTTCTTCATCAAAGTCCTTCAATACTCTTCACATTCCATCTTGTCCAAATTACGTCGCTTATCTAATCTCACGATGCCATCTAGTACAGGTAATGTTCCATGCCTGTTATACAGTTTTAATAAACTTTCTCGTCTTCCTAATCCTATTGAAAGTTTCCCTAGTAATCCCTTGTTTTTAAATAGTTATGAATCCCTCATTTTTGATCCTAAAATAATTTTAAACTTTGGAATTGAAAAAAATCCACCCAAGCTTCCACTTGTTTTCTGGAAAAAATTTCAAAAGACTGGCAGGGTTGGTTACCGATGTATACTGATGCTTCCAAGATTCCCAATAATGAGTACATCGGTGCGGCTGTATGGGTTCCTTCATTCAAAACAGTATTGAGCTTTAAACTTCCTCCATTGACCTCCGTTTTTTCAGGTGAAGCTTTTGCAATCCTAGAAGCGGTTTTGTATGCTGAGTCCCACAACCTAAATAAAGTTACAATTTTTTCCGATTCTCGCAGCTGTTTACAGGCAATTCTTTCCAATCCATTCAGGTCTAAAAAAAAACATAATACTATTCTAAAAATAAGAGAAGCTTTGTTTAGGTGTAGTAAAAAAGATATTCATATTGTACTTTTGTGGATACCTAGTCATTGTGGTATAGCGGGTAATGAAACTGCTGACTCTTGTGCAAAAGGTGCTATTTTCTGCGGATCTTGTCAGCATCCCAACATCTCGGCCCACGACCTATCAGCTCTTGCGTACTCCCACCTTTTAAAATCCTGGACTATTGATTGGCAATCTTCTAAAGTAAAAACTGGCAGGCACTATGCTAATATTCAGTATTCAATCCCTTCTTCGCCGTGGTTTTTTAAATATAAGTTTTTAAACAAAAAGGTCACGTCTATAATCTGCCGTCTTCGTATAGGGCACGCTTGTACTCCCGTTCATCTAGCCAAAATTAAAATTAAAGACAGTTCTCTCTGTGAGTGTGGTATGGACGAAGGCTCGACAGACCACATATTTTTTAACTGTTCTTTAATTAATGACTCGTTATTTGACCATCTTTCTTCAGATTTCCCTCGTCCATGTAACCTTAACTCCCTACTTTCCCTCCCATCCAGCTCGATCGTCAATATTTTAGGGAAATTTATTTCTGTTAATAAATTAAAGTTATAAATAAGATTCTCCCCTCCATACCTTGTAGTAAAATGTTAACCTTTTGTATATATTATTAGATGTCTGTGTGTGTTGTATTTATTGTGATGTCATTTTTGTTTTGGGTAACTCTGCTTAGATAAAATTCAATCTAGTAAAATTATCAAATCTATCCTCACTGTGTGAAGACTTAGAACGTGACATTGGCGGAATTGTGATTTACACAGATGTCGCCATTATAAATAAAGTGAAGTGAAGTGAAGTGAAATAAAATTTACAATTTTTCAGTAAATCTAATAAAACACATTTGTATTGTTGAGAGTTTTATAAATAAGAATATAGAAACACATCCAATAACATGGTGATCCTAAAGTACTTAATTTGTAAAAAAAATTATTAACTGTTATCGCATAGCGCGAGTCGTTTGGTGTTGGTTTTACTGGAATCTCCATAGAACTACTAACTACTAACATAAGTATAACAGATTTATATATTGCTATACCGTTATTGCGTTAAAATGTCTGGCAGAAGGAAACCACCACCGCCAGGATTTAATTTCAAACCTCAGGAACAACAAGTTGAAGTGTAAGTAAAATAAATAATGTAAATAATATAGGTTCATTTTAATCATGTACTTATCATTAGTATTGGTTTTAATTATAACAAATACTTAGGTTTTTTTACAAATTACTAGTTATTATAATTATTTTTTGTGAAATAGTAAGTTGTCTAATAATTTATTGCTCTACATCCTATAAGATAATATAGCATGATTCAATTAGTTAAAATTAATTTCTTTATCTTTCAATGTTGTATATTTTAGTACACCCCCAAGAAATCTTGATAAACAGACAACAATCACAGTTGATGATAAAACATTTACTGTGCATGCTGATGACCTGGTAAAAATATGTGACCTTGGTCGAGGGGCATATGGTATTGTGGAGAAGATGCACCATAAACCTAGCAATACTACAATGGCAGTAAAAGTAAGCTTTAAAGTAGTACCATTTGTACGAGTTAATAGTAAATTTTTTAAACTGGTAAAAAATAAAATAAATTATTTTAAATATTGTAAATTTAGCTTTCTCTTATCGAAGGATGTTTTTTAAGGAGTTGAAATAAATATCTGCTTCGTTTTCAGAGAATTTCTGCATCATTCAACAGTCAGTCGTTAGAACTAAAACGATTGTTGATGGATCTTGATGTCTCAATGAGAGCTAGTGCATGCCCTTACACAGTCCATTTCTATGGTGCCATGTTCCGTGAGGGTGATGTTTGGATTTGCATGGAAGTTATGGACATGAGTCTAGATAAATTTTATACAAAAGTATACAAAAACAACAGAACAATAACAGAAAATATCCTGGGAAAAATAGCATTTTCTGTTGTTAGTGCTTTGCATTACCTCTATTTAAAATTAAGAGTCATACATAGAGATGTAAAGCCATCAAATATTTTAATCAACCGAAAGGGTGAAGTCAAAATGTGTGATTTTGGAATTTCTGGGTATTTAGTTGATTCTGTTGCAAAAACTATTGACGCTGGTTGCAAACCATATATGGCCCCAGAAAGGATCGATCCAAGTGGCAATCCAGGACAGTATGACATCCGAAGTGACGTATGGTCCCTCGGAATATCAATGATTGAATTAGCAACTGGGAAATTTCCCTATAACACCTGGGGTACTCCATTTGAACAGTTAAAGCAAGTGGTTAAAGATGACCCTCCGAGGCTACCAAGTGGACAATTTACACCTGAATTTGAAGATGTGATCACAAAATGCTTACAAAAGGATTATAAGAAGAGACCAAACTATGACGCTCTTTTAACTCATCCATTCTGTCTGGAACACAGTCAAAAAGAGACAGACGTGGCTTCCTTTGTTCAAGAAATACTAGATTTACCAGATGACTCTTAGTAGTATATTCTTTTTACCTACCTATAAGTACAAGTGTTTAGTTGCTAACAATTTAGTTTATGGAAAGAACACAAACTATTATATAATCATATTAACACATAAATGCCTGAGCTCTATATGACCATTGATCCAGACAGATTTTTCTTAAGTTAACAGTAGGACAATCTACAATTAAGCAATTAAGACCGGTTTGATGTAGGACCCGGGCAATAAAGAGTAAGGTTAGCTGTCATGTAGATACCAGTCCATCTAATGTTATATAGTTATTAACCATAAGAAAATGCTAACCTCACATTGTGGCCTCAAAATTGCATATATATTGCTGATGGACGACTGTAATTTTCTATAGTATTAGATATACATCACAAGTAAATTAGTTGAAATAAAAATATTTGTTTAACTAATTGTATTTTATTGAAACACATTATTTATTAGGAAATTTATTAAAAATTGGCAGTTTAATAAATTAAATACAAAATAAAAGTACATAATCCTATTTTCCCTTATATCTAAGTCATGGCGTGGACTCTTAAAGTTAGTAGGTATTTTAAGCGTAATTGACTAGAAGTTAAGTTGCCTCTTAGAAAGGTGAATTCATTCCCAATTTAGTACCGAAATCTAATCTTGCACGGCGTTGATTTCTCTCATCAACCCTGAAAATAAATATATTGAGGATTATTAATTAGATTGACAAATTTGTTTTAAGTAGAAAAAAAAATCTTGGTTTTAAATTTGAACACAAATACAAACTCGATATAAGCTCTGCTTGTCCATTGCAAGTTTTCTCAAATTCCTATGAAAATGTACAACTAGATACAATATAACAATAAAAAGTATCGCTTATAAGGAAAAACTCACTGTATCTCAAAAAATTTGATAAGTTCATTAAGTCCGAGCACGAATACGGGCGACAGTGCGTACGCGGCCAACAACGAGTTCGGAACCTGGTAGTGCGGGCATGACCATGCACCGCATCCGTACTCACTACCTGACAGCATTACGCCGCTGAATATAGATTGAAGGATTATTCTGAAAGAGACCTTATAGTATTTATAACTTACAATTAAAGTTTTTAAGTACTATTGTAGACCTTAAAGTGGAAACCCAATATTATATTAATAACCTAAGAAGTTTATCGAACATGAACAAATACGATATTCGCTTCTCAAGGATAACTTTTTCGACTGCCCTGTGAAGAAGTGTCGAATATTCTTATATTATATTATTAACATATAGTATTATATAATTAACGCAAACGGGAGCAATAAGCAACCTTAAACATCAGACAGTCCGTGAAAAATAATGTATATGGAGAAGGGACAGCCTTATATATTGTTTCGTGATTTGAATTTTTTTAATATTAATTAAAGTTGGAACGTTCAAGTATGTACCCAAGTATAGTTAAACGTTTCGTGACCACCTAAAGACTCTTTATCCCTAAAAGTTACCATTATGTGGTGTAAAGTACTGGAAAGTTATAATAAATAATATTAACAATACCGCGTAATTCAATCACCGCCCCGTATTGTAACGTTTTACAAAAGGACCCCCCCCAAATTCGTTTCGTAATACTTGAAGGCTCCCTTACCGTCAAATGTCAAAATAACACCCAAAAATTGCAAGAGTACCCTTATAAACTTATTTTTAGACTACCCGAGTGTGATTACTTGGCTCCATAACTTTTGGCTTCCACCATTTTTTTGTTTGTTTTACTCTTTGTATTTATAATATTTAAGAAATAATAATATCCGGTATGTCAAAAACTTTGAATTTGACATACGGAAGAGAGGAGTTTGTTTGTCCGGTAATCGATCTCAAGGCATTGCCAATGAATTTACGTTTTAGTTCAGGAGAGTTATGAAGTTCATCATCAATCTTATACATAAAGTATTTACTTACAAAACCACAACAGCCAAGCACCAAACGCGATTCGACCAAAACCCTCTCCGCCATAAAGATGAATGTCGGTGAACGAACGATAGAGATATTACAACTGAAATAAATGATTAAAATGACAAATCTCACATCACAAACTTGTCTTGGGCGTTGTCAAAAATGTAAAACTGTCAACTTTTACGACTATTTAATGTTTAGTGCATTACGACTATTAAAAAATTAATATCTTAAAATGTTTCCTTCAAAAAAAGTTGATCACTTAGTAACACACAACATTGTGTTTAACAGGAACAGACACACAGTCTGTTGCATTGAGAAAGCAAAAAAACCAACCATAACTTACTTAAATGCAAAGTGACCAGGGCCAATGTGATATGTTGTACCAGATAAAATCCATCATAGAAAATATCGCCCCAACCGTGCCAACTTCGCAGAGTCAAATCGTGTTCGATAGTGTAATTTCCTGTATTTATCGGATATACGAGCCAACAGTCTGTCGCGTTTGTTGCTTCCGCGATTTGCTCGCAAAAACTACGTAACGTAAATCCATACAAAGCAAGGATGGATATCACTGAGGGTAGGAATTTGCACGCGTAGCACCAAAACACGAAGAGCGCCATCTGTAGGGAACCATTAAATGAATGTATTTTAATATTAGATGTTACTGACACTATTAAGCTACATTACCTTTTTTGTTATGACCACACTGTTACGTCATTATAATTTGACAGTAATCATCTTACTACTTAATATAAATAAATTTGAGCACAAATAAAATGACGAGTAAATAAAAATTACATTAGTTCGCATAACCGCAACCGCCTGAAGGACCTTGAAAGCTCGGGCTTTTCCCGCAACTGGCGTAAAGGGGTCTCCTGCGAGACTCGGCTTGGGCCGCCAAGAGGTGGTCATTCGCGAAGGGCAGGAAGGAAGCTCACTGGAGTGAGCGAAGTAAAAAGGACTTCTCCTTGAAGTGGGTGAAGGCGATTTTTTAACGATGATCTGAATTTGCTTTTCTGCGCGGGCTTCAACATAATTAAAAAATCCTAAGCACTATATTTATGGCGTCGTATGGTTGTCGCGTTTTACACATGTACAATGCATACATTTAGACACTTGAAATACTATTTTTGTACCAGGAGCTTAAGAAAAAATCACTTTTAGACAGGCGTGACCCACTAACGCTAAACGAAATTGTATGTAAATGACATTAGCTCATGCATTTATTATATTTGATAGAAGTATGGGGTAGCGGTTCAACTTAAACGTTCAGGTTCTACGAAATAAATAAATTAAAATCCTCTTTTTGAAGTGATACTTCTTTAGGCGCATGATGGTAAAATTTTTACGTATGAAACGCAATAATAATAATATTAGCGTCACGAAGATGTGCAGCGTTGTTGCCGAATAAAATGGAGAGAGCCATTGAGACCGATTGAGATAGATTGAGAGAGAGTTAGTATTTCATATTTTATGCAAAATAATTTATTGAAATCTCAAATGACGAATTGTATATTAAAATGCCACGTGTTTTTATCGAAGAAATAAATTTAAAAAATTAAATTTATTATTTGTATAAATTTTCGACACTTAATATTTTAATGACAATTAAATTCCTAACATATGACCCTTTTTCCCTCCCTCTAAGTCTCGGAAATCTAAAGTTTTAGATTTGTGTATGAACAAGACTTAAAAATTAGTTTGCCAAAGAAGTTTCACTTCTGACGTGTGTACTTTTTACGTACTCACTTATTTTTTTGTTTCGTTTGGATTAATATTGGACAGGTAGAAACTATTTATTTTAATTCGATTATAACCCACGTTTTATTTAAATGTACTCGCGTAAACCAAAGACATGTTAAACTAAATCCATACAATTAACGTAATATTTAAATTACCTTAGCGCTAAAGTCAAGAGGCGGACGTGTGGCAGCCCTTTGCATCACATGTCTGTGTGTTGGGGTGAATGCTAGTGCCGTCGCTAGTAAGGGAACACTCGCCGCGCTGCTCCATAAGGCCCCTCCAGGGGTCAGGGCCAGGGGAAGGAAGGCGTATAGAGATGCTACCTATATATACAAATATTGTAATTAGCTGATAAATCTCATGCGATGCGCTGGAGAGCCAACCGATTTTCAGCTATAATATCACGGCGCTCGCTATGTTTCAAATATATTTTTGTTTTATTCATTAAGGGGCTCCTAGACGGGCCATTTTTTCACGAAAATGTATAGCTGCGAGGGTGTGGCTGGTAGCATCAGTCAGCATTTACGGCCAGACCATGCAATACTCGGCAATATTTTTAGTATAGCCAGGATATAATATTGCCAAATATCGATCGATCGAAATATCGCAATTTTTCTCCGCCATATTGCTGTCTCGTCAACGTCGCGTCGAGTTTGTCCGCTATTGCATCCAAATTGATATACATTGTTCAGCCATGTGCTGCTTTAAAAGTGTTTTATATTATTTTCGGAATATAGTTGGCAGCGATGTAGCCACATATTTCGTTAAAGTGTATATGTGACGGCCCTTATAAACAACATAGATACACTATAGAAATCACAGATAACTTTTACGTATAGACAAGAAAAAAAGTAAAATTTATATTCACCTGTAAGAGCGATATGAAGCAGGCGCTGCAGATCCAAAATTGCGTACAATTCCAGAGACACGCTGTGAAATGACGCGACATTGTGATGAGAGTGAATAGCGACACGTCCGTCTCGCGCGCCATCTGAATTGGTATTGACGTTATAACAAACAAATGTGGGTAGTTTTAAAATTACTTGATAACAAACAAAAGATTACCCTAGGAATACTTTGCACTATATATTTTCTCTTGTTTTAAACGAATAAAAAATCACACTGTCATTTTAGGTTCAAAAACATCAACTTCCTTCTAAATTTAATTTAATCTCAACTCTTGTTAAACCAAGTCTTCCTATAAAGTACGGCAATTCGACAGTGCTCAAGTCTAACTTGAAGACACGTTTCCGAATACGGGCCTATAAGCGTAGATTCAGAGTTGAGCCTGAGCGTGAAGTGAGTTATAAACTCCCGTATAAGCTGGGCGCTGGCCCTAATAATAAAATCAGGCGCTACAACCCAAATAGGTCTTCGCGTCAGATTGCCTCCTTGATTATTTTTATTTCATAGCCAAGAAGGTGTTCAGCCTTCTGTCTGACACATGTTGATTTTTGGGTTTGATTCATGCAGTTTTCCTCACGAAGTTTGCCTTCATAGACGCAAGTACTAATTGCGTACATAGAAATAAAATTCCTTAGGGGCGTGGGTCGCATGCTAAAGCCAATAAGGCAACACAAAAAAAAATGAGCAGGTTCTAGCAACGAATAAATTTTTGATATTCTCTGTACTATTTAGAATGCGAAAATCGTCGGGAACTAGTTATTACATATTTGTACCATACCTGTGGACTGCAGTAATTTGTGAAAGGATGGTGTTGCCATTTATTTTTTAACTTTACGGGCAGCGTGCGAGTAAAATATTATATGAGATATGGTAACACTAATTTGAAGACAACAACAGCTTTGGATTAACAGGGTAACTACTAATTTTTTGTTAATTACTAGTTTGTTACTACTCAAACATTAGCCGTTAGCGGGTTAAGCAATAAATCTATACTAAATATTAACAAAAAGCAATATTATAGAATATGTACTTAAATTATAAATTAGTCCATGAAAACCGACAGCTAAGAAGAAAGGAACGTGAGTATCTTGGTAACAATTTATCATAGTTTTAGTCAAATTGTGGAACGCTCGTATAATATATAGAGCGGGCTAAAAACTTCCCAAAATTTATATTAATATTAAACGGAGAAAAGGTTTTATATAATAATCTAAAAATTTGACCGATTTAAAAAATAAATAACAATTAGAATCCTGAGTAACATGGGCTATATTCATCCAAAATATAAAATAAGTTGGGACAGGCTATTTTACAGATTTTTTTACTGAAACAAATTCTTAAAAAAATTCTTTATAAGCAATATTTGTTGGAAAATTGACTGTAAGCATGGATTTTCATGTATATACACTTATACACTGTTTGCCAAGACAACTAAAAAAATATTTCTCTTTAGTAAAAAAAATTTTTTAATACGCTGGTGTACAGTTTTATATATCTCTTACCGATAAGGAGCAGGGTAGCGAGTTGAGTGCCCGTGCAAGGTCTATAGGTCCGATACAGTCCTGAGGTAATTTGTATGGGGGCAGTTTTTGACACAACACTGGGTATAACGGTTCAACAGCCACACTGTAAATAAATAAATATATTTTAATTTTAATTTTAATCTACTTTTAAATAGATTAACAGTACTTAATAAAACTCAAGTTTCCTACTTTTTTAGCCTGAGTTAGAAACATAATTGGCACGTACTTTCAATAAAAATAGCAAATAGGGACTTGTTTTTTTATATTTGATACTGGCAGGTAAGAGTAAAAAAACTTAACAGCTATGTATTTTCATACCTGGCATCTGCCTGCATAAATATTTCCATGTTAAGGCAATTCGCAGCTGAACCCATCACGCAAACCACTTCACCGTAATCCTGGAAGGATAATAAATAAACTAGCTTATTTTCGAGAATTTACTACTCACTAATTGTAATAAAAAACATTATAGCTTTTAATATTTATTTAAGTTAATTCTGTGATTAAATTAACAAACAATTATTGACTGACCAATAAAATAAAAATGGAACTAATTTCTTCAAATGGCAACAATGTTTAAAATATCAAATGTATTATTAATTGTGTTGTGCTGGATCTAAATGTTAATTATTGTAATTAATAAGTGCTTTGATATGAAAAGATTAACAAACTTTTATTTATAATAGCATAATGAAGTATTTGTCGAAAAGAAAAGTCTGAAGCAATGGACTCTGAATATTGTGTCAAAAGTCATGACAATATGAGGATGGCTATATTTAGAACAGCTTTTTCCATTGTTAGTTAGAACAGGATTTTATGTATTATTGATCGGACTTTATTATACATGAACTACTAATAAACATACATACATAACAATATAAGTTTTCATTGTCAAATAAATCTGTTTAAACTATATTTTAGAAGTATACCTGCATAATCTGTATCATTGTTTGCACAGAGCGCGGTGTGCAGTCTGTGAATAGTGAAACCAATAGTGGTACATTGTCAACTTGTTCTATATGGGGTCGAATATTCTCTATACCCCGAGGTAATTTCGCCTGAAAATAATACATATTATCTTAATAAGTATTCTAAATAGATATAATTTTGCCTCTTTAAACTTCTCGTTAAAGCATCTTAAGTGCGTAGTCCGGTCAATATAGACATTCAAAATAACAAAAATTGCCGGAGAGCTGGAGTTTGCCATTACAATTTTTTTTTAGAAATCTCCATAGATCCTGTGTGCTACAAAAGTTATACGTAGTCAAAGTCAAAATTTGAGGATTTTTATATTTTTCTCGAAAATTTTAAGTTTTATCAATATCAATAATAAGGTCTCATGAATAATATAACATCGGTTATGCAACCATAGTAACAAACACAGTAGTAACTTAATTTACGTTTATATAAAAAGGCCGAGACATTACATTTATGTACCAAACAGTCTGTTCCGTACCAGACAGTCATAACAATTCTGTACCAAATAATATTAGGTCCTTACATATGAAATTGGTGTTTTGTATGGGAGCAACAAAAAGTCGCATATTTTTAAATATAATATATTTAATTAATCAAAGTATGAACCATTGTTTTCTATGCACTTTTGCCATCTCATAGGTAGTTCATTGATCCCTTTACTAAAAACAGTCGGACGGGAATCAATAAAATCTGTGAAGGCGATTTGGACTGTCCCATCAGAGTTAAATTTTTTCCCTTGCAAGAAGTTGTCCAAATTTCGAAAAAAATGGTAATCTGTTGGAGCAAGGTCCGGGGAGTACGGAGGAAGTCTTAGACATTCCAATTGAAGCTCTTCTAATTTGGTAGCCGTCTGTTATGCAGTGTGTGGTCTAGCGTTGTCGTGAAGTAGCAGTGGCGTGGAGCGATTGACCAGCCTAGGTTGTTTAGCCGCTAGCTTTTCCATCATGGTTTGCAATTGCTGACAATAGACATCAGCCGTAATAGTCTGGCCTGATTTGAGAAAACTGCAATGAACAATATCGGCACTAGTCCACCAAACGCTTACAAGTAACTTTTTTTTGGGGTTAATTTTCGCTTGGGGCAGGATTTGGCTGGCTGGCCAGGATCCAACCATTGCGCTGAGAGCTTCCGATTATCGTAAAGAATCCATTTTTCATCACAGGTAATGATTCGGTTTAAAATACCTTCATTATTGTGCCGGTTCAGTAATGTAACGCAGCAGTCGACGCGCCTTTGCTGGTTTGCTTCAGTCAATTCGTGAGGTCCATCTTTCAAGCTTTTTAATCATCCCAATTTGCTTCAAGTGAATTAAAACAGTTTTATCACTAACACCGCAGCCTGCAGCTAACTCGGACGTGGTTTACGATGGATCCGCTTCCACAATAGCCTTCAATACTTCATTATCAACTTGGGTCTCAGGCCGTCCACGGGGCTTGTTCTGCAGGTCGAAATTTCCAGAACGAAAACGTTGGAATCAAAAACGAACTGTGTTTTCTTTTGCAACATGACCGCCATACACATCATTCACCCTTCGAGTCGTTTCCGCAGCACTAGTGCCACGGCGGAACTCGTACTCGTAAATAATGCGATACTTTAAGTTTTCCATTTTGTGCAAACAGAAAAAAACAAATGAATGACGGTCATCGAAGCACAAATACATGAGTAAATAGCTGTACAAATTTGAATTTGGAATTCCTTACCAAAGAGGAGAACATCGTGATTAAAGTGGCCAGTACGAAATACGCCAATTTTATATGTAAGGACCTAATATTCATAAGAAATCCTGAAACAACGTACCCGATTGCTCATATCGAAATGCAGCGGTGCGGAATGGTCAGTGGAGTCTGTAAGACAGGACAGGGAGCGACAGGCGTCACCCGGGGACTCGGTGCCTTCGCCCTCCAGCACTGAGTCCGACCTCCCGCCCGGTATACTGTTGCGCTCTAGATGCTAAACCACGTGTTAGTCCTACTATGCTTTAGGTCATTTAGAGTGGATTTATAGGTTATATATTTGTTATTCTTATTCTATATGGATAGGAATGTTACCAAAAACGGATATGTACAAAAGATTGTCGTAAACAAAATTGTCTTATAGAAAACATTTGTGAAAATATGTTGTACACAAATTATTTCCTTATAAAATGATTCTAGGCAAGTAGCTTGTCTCTCGTCAAATTTATTAAATTTCTTTTCCATTTTTTTTCTATATTCACATTGTGGTGTTAGTTAAAAAAATGCATTTTCGCAACAAAAAAACAGTGCAATTTGGGGTGTTTAAAGGAGAATAACCAGGCCAAATACAGATGCTTACCTTAAGCGCCGTCTGTGTTGTTATAGAGTGTCGATTCTTCTTAATCTCATTATCAAATTTGACCGTGCCATGTTCCAGATTAATAGCACCCGGAGCTGACATCGACAAGGCTTTGGAGGATGTCATGTTACCGCTGTATACGTAATCATAGAACATATCTATTAGGAAAGTGGATTACCGCTATACTGACTGATTTAAATGTCTTGAAATTACCTTTAATTTGAAGGTAACAAAATACGTACCAAATTATATTTAAATTAAATTTAATATTAAAATACAGGGTAACATTGTCAGTGACATCACAAGAAGCTTTTTGTTAATCATGCAGCAATCTCGAAGTTTGATTAGCTTATAATATTATGTTTTTTCTATATCAACTCTTAGAAGCTTTTATATATTATAAATATATATAGCTGTAACATATAGCTTTTATTTTATAACATTAGCATATTGCCTGTATCGATTAAATACTGTGATTAGTGGGAAAGTGATTCATGTAATGAGTGTGCGTGAGTTGGCGAATTTCAGATTGTAGGATCAAAATTCACCTATTGTCTAAATTCCTAGAAACTCGGTTTCATTGATAAAATGTTGTATTTTTTGTGAATAATGAATAAAGCTTGCAAATTAAAAGCATGTACAAATTGTGCTAAAAGCAATGCGTAATTAATTGTGATAAATGATAAAAGAAGCTAATGTTGCATGTCACATCTCTTGATAAAGTCGCGAAAAGTATCAAAAATGATCCTAAATCTTGAATAAACTCTAATGGTCAATAATAAATAAATACTCTAAGCCTTAAATATCAAATGAGGACGAATATAAGTAAGAAGACATACTTATTCAGACTTACAGTGCCACATAGTTTTATTGGCCGGTAAGAGCGTCGCTGTCATGGATATTAGTACTGCTAGTCAATAAAAATTAACAATTATAATTTGAAGTCAAGCAGGCAAACTTAATAATTTACTGAAATGTCTTAATAAAACAATGAATACTAGTATCTAGAAAATACAGTACTCTGATTTTTATTTCCGTAGAATTCTGACAGCTATCATTTTTGAGACGTCAGTGATGAACTTTTTTGGCCGGGCACATTTTTCAATCCGGATCAATTTCAATACAAGTCTGATCAGATTTATTTATTAATTTTCTTCTTTAGCTGGCATCACTGCCTATTAATTCCAGGTTTAGTAAAGCTTTAAAAAAAATGGTATCTTTACTTGTGCGTTTTTTACTGTTTGTGATGAAAAGGGACGTAATTATCACTCGCCGTTAAACCAATTTTAATGTGGAGCACCGCATAAAATGCATACATTAACTAAAAATAAAATGTATACGTATAGACTCAATTGTTCAAACTCGTATTGAAATTGAAAAATATTCCCGGCAAAAAAAGGTTTGCCATCTCTGACATGTCAAAAAATGATAGCTATCAGAATTCTACGGAATTAAAAATCAGAGTATAAGTTATATAAAGAAATGTTTAAGAGTAATCAGTATGAAAAGGAAATCAAGAGATATGATCTGCAAATGCAGGTTAAAGAGACGAACCTATAAGGAAAGACGTCACCCGTATCGGGCCTAGTGAGTTGCGTAGCGGTGTTAGGTCGCTCGCGGATCAACGTTTGTGACGACAAAGGCGAACTCGGCTTGCTGTAATGTTTAGTCATTTCTAGTATAATCTTTATATTTACAAGTGATTTTGTCGCTTATGAAAATTCTGAATTATTGTTTAAATCTCCTATGCAGAGCATATTAGTTGTAAATTTGTAATGTAAACGACATAAATAACGACCTTGTTCGCTGGAAATACGTGCGTATACGTATACGTAAATATACGTCCCATACGCACTCTTAGCATGCGACATTTAAACTTGAGATTCTATATAAAAATAAGTAGAAGAATCTAAAAAGTAACAGGAGTTAACATCAACTATTCGCAAGATTGAACTTAACAGCATTCGCTTTAAAATTAAAAGAAAATGTTGTGTATGAGTTTATTTGATTCGAAAAATATGGTTAGTATCACACAGGACCCATTTAAAAAAAAACAATGTCTTTGCATTTGGTTCATTCGTTTAAGTCTGTAAGCGTAAATCGTTGATTTATCTTATTAGTCGATTAGGTTAGATTATATTTTCACACACATTTATGTTAATTTCCTAAACAATTTGCAAGCAACATTAAACCACATCTTATTTTTGACTGAATTTACTTTAAATGAATTCTCCTTTAGTAAATTGAGTATAATTTCGTAAGTAAATGCTTTGCCTATATATTGTCTTGACAACGGAATCTAATTGATTAGGTGAGATGCGGAGAACCTGACATCTAAATTTTCATCTACGTAATATTCGTTCGAACGCATTAAAAAATGTATCCAATTAGGGGAAAATATGTTGATATCATCGTGTGTTTTAAGACTCACCTCTGCTGCGGTTGGCTCATGAGCGATATGTGGCAGTTCCAACCAGACTCCAGTCCCATTTTCTCACTGAAAACTCGAGATCTCAATTCGTTCTCTTTACTGAAATGTACAAAGCGTATACACGCTCGTTCGAGTCTCTCAATCAACTCCACCATATCGCTTTGCGCCTGGTACTGCATCGTTACCATACCTATGAATACCTAAAGAAAGAAAGAAATATATTATATTTTTAAATTGCATATTTAATTTAATATTTGTATTTTCTAATCTAGTTTATTATACTACATATTTCCTTTATCTTTTATAATTGTAATTTGTCCCTTTAAATGTTGTACACACTTATCATTGATGCACATGTATTGTGTTTTTGTAAGTCGTGTGTTCTCTGTGTCGGTATGTATAGTGTTGGTATACCTTTTTAAAATTTAATTCATTTTTTTATAAATTTGGTATTCTTACTTCAATAAGAACTAAAATAAAACAATTAAACCAACTCATGATTATGAAACATGATTCAGAGCCCAGAGCCCATGGGCCAGAGCAGTGTTGGCCTCTCTCTCTCAATCTCGTCCCTGGGGTCGTAGGTTCGTACCTCGGGTGTACACCAATGGAATTTCTATGTGCGTATTTAATACTCGCTTGTACGGTGAAGGAAAACATCGCGAGGAAACCGACATGCCTTATACCAAAAAAGTAGACGGTGAGTCGAAGTGACTATTAGAAATGAACAGATGCAGAAATCTGAGACCCAGACCTAAAAAGGTTGTAGCGCTATTGGAATACACACGTTCCCATTGCAAGTGTGTTTACTGAACAGATTTCGATGCTTTTTTATGTAGCAAATGCACTATACCTGATTCAAATTAAACAATTCAAAACGCGCCACCTTATTTTAGAAGAAGAAACGCACTACTCGTATACCTATAGGTCCATCTACAAAAATCACTTTGCTCTAAATGTTTTATCTGAATGGGTTATAAAAATATTTTGACGTTTGACATTACCTGATTACACTGCAAATCAAAGAATCCGTCAACGTCAGTTACATCGTCATCTGTCACTTCGTTGAACAGTAGTGAATCTGAAATAGAATAAAAATATAGTCAAAACAGTATGGAAACAAGATCAACAGGAGTAAAAGGTGTCCGATGTGAAATTGAACCGCCAAAATTGGAAAAATTTAGAAGAGGCCTTTGTCGAAGGACAAATTGTTAATAAATAAATAAATAATAAGTATAGTAAATATTATAATACTTAATATTTAGGGGTTAGGGGGCGTCCATAAATTACGTGAGGTGTTTAAGGGGGGGAGGGGATCGAGTCAAATCTCATTTAACCTTACGTTGGAGAGAGAGGGGGTCTCGGCAAATATCACGCAATTTTTTTTTCTGATTGAAAAAAAAAACTTAGGAAAACGGTTGACCCTAAAGGCCATATCTGCAACTTCCCGCTAACTCCATACCTAAACGCTCAACATTTCACTTATTTTGTTTTAGTCGTAAATAGAAGGACGAAGCAATTTTTTTTTTCTTTTTACAATAACAATTCAACGCGTTTACGTAAGAAACCCACATTTTGAAAAATCTCACGTGAGATTGGGGGTTGGGGGAGGGGGTTGAATAAAATCTCACGATATCTCACCAGGGGGGGAGGGAGGTACAGAAAATTTAAAAAAACACCTCACGTAATATATGGACGCCCCCTTATTCTTGCTGTATTTAAAATATAACTGCTTTTTAAAGAATGCTTTTCGGGAGGTCTAACAATTTGATGGATTCGTGTAACTGTTTAATTCATTCGCGGGATTATAACGATGGTTAACAAAATGATAGTGATACTTTGATAAGGGTCCTAACAACCTTTTATCGATACTTTACTTTTAAATTAAAAATGAGTTTCATTATCGGACAGAATACAAAATACCATCCTCGACGTCCGACAACAGATCCTTTTTAAGGCAGTCTTTGCCGCACGACCACTATGTGGAACCAGCTGCCCATTGAAGTATTTCCGAACCAATCCGACTTCCTTCAAGAAAAGAGCCTACCAAATCTTGAAATGCCGGCCACGCACTTGCGAGCCTTCTGGCAATGGGATGTCCATGGGCGGCGGTATCACTTAACATCAGGTGAGCAGTGTGTTGACTCCTGTTACATAGAATTGTTCTATTATAATTACCAGTAGAGTGAAAATGCAGCGCGGGCGCATCCGCCCATTGTTGTGAATGTGGGGCGTACAGTTGTCGGCTATCCGCTGGTAGCTCTAGGTAGGTTTGAGCTAAGGTAGGGGTTATGCTACGGGTCAGTGGTCTGAAAATAAAAAAAAATTAAATACTGGCCTGTTGAACGCATAGGTGATTTTTTTTTACATTTTGGAAATAAATATTACATGTGTTATATAGGAGTAGAATTAAAATAGTAAAAACGTTTTTGAAACAGATCGATTAGATTAGAAATTATTTGTTTCCAGGAGAAATTAAATAAATATTAAATTATGATTTGTTGTATTTTTACAAAAAAAAAACAAATAATAAACATTCTACACTTACATGATATATTTATATTTACGTGACAGTTTTTAGTGGATTATTAAGTTATAAGATTGTATGTAATTATTTTTTTATAGAAAATATAAAATTTATCGAAAGTACTAACTTATAAGCAAATGCAGTACAATATGCAGTGAGTGAATTTCTCTGATAAAAATCGATAATTTTCTTCCTATCTGAAGGAGATATGGGCGTCAAGTCTTTTCCATTCCAGTAGTCCACACACGAGTCTAATACTATATCTGCTGTGCCCTAGAAATAGTAATTTGTATGGCAATTAATTTTTCTTAAACATTTCTGATAATAGCGCCATTTGCTCAGAAAAGTTTAAAAAATAATTCTTCAAGTAAATAGCTTTATTTTCTTTTTTTTGTTATATCTGATTAGTCAAGTGTCTATAGACAGTTCTAGAACGTCACTACTCAAACAAATCAAGAGCTGTCATTTATTTTTTGTAGTTTGACACATTTGACAGGTGTCAAGTGATTGTGAAAAATATAAGGATTTATATAAGGAAATAAATAAATTTTGAGCTAGTATTTTAAATTAAATATTAAAAAATTACGCCAATAAGTTGAGGCAAACAAAATAGTTACTTTTATTTCTCTATTTTGCACTTTACCTGTGTCAACATTTGCAACTGATGTGCTTGGTCCTTGACAATGACAGCCAGCATATGAGGTAAAGGCACCTTCACACGCGTATTCAAATGTAAAGAGCGGACGAAACGTGTTTCGCGCCTTATTGTGTCTGCTTGCTGGAAATTATTGCCTCAATATTTTTAATGTTTCAAACAATAGGTATTGAAAATTGAAGGCGGGACACTTTGGCGTCATCATATAGGTAAACAAGTACACTTATGAACGTTAACAGAAAAGGTGTTTTGAAAAATTGATTCTAAATTTACATTAACTACCAGTTCGCAAGTCAAGGGCGTAGAGCGGGCAAGAAGAACTGGCAAGAAACTCTCCGCCATTCTTTTTAATCACCAAGATTTGAGTCATACAAATTGTTTGAACTGGAGCAAATCAATCCCAAGGATTAGGATCATTTAAATAACGTTTGGTGTATTCCAACTTAGGTTAGGTATAGTCTAGAAACATAACAAGTATTTGAAGTCGGTGAAATCTAAACAACTTTAATATATTGAAAATTTATCAACGTGTGTTTGTACTAATGGTACTTACGTATTAACGCCACCGCGGCAAAAATTCTGGTAACGATTTAGAAGTCCGTATTGGCTATCATGTTTTTTGGCATGAAAAATCGATTAATAAAAAATAATCGATTTGTTTATATTTGTCGATTATTTACTAATTTTTGAATTTTAAAGTTTCACGCACCGGAAACAGTTATTTAAATAAAATAATTAATATACTAACCTAACCTAACCAAACAATACGGATTTCTAAATCGTTACCAGAATTTTTGCCGCGGTGGGGTTAATACGTAAGTACCGTACTAATTTTGTTGTTCCTATTAAGACGTCATAGGAAATACTTACAAGATTTCTAAAGACAGCTAAACATTCCTGCGTGGTATAAGCATCTGCCACGACGTCAGTGAAACCTATTTGCTTCGCGAGTTCACAAAGACAACGACGATTGGTAACAGGTACCAAGTCTTCACTGGAATAAACAAAAATATTTTTATATTTGTCCAATCAGTGTTGGACAAGTGGCTACAGCGTATGACTCATCGCTAGATCGTAGGTTCACAGGCTGCAATTTCCCCGTACTAGACTATCTAATGTTAGTAATTCTTTTTTGGGAAAAGGGATACTCTTCTTTAATAAAATCACAGAGGCTCTTTTTTCTTTGCCTTTTAATAAATTTAAGAAATGTATTAGAGAAAAGCTGTGTAAAAAGGCTTACTATAAAGTTAACGATTATCTAGTTGATAAAAGGGCCTGGGCTTAGACAGGCTACTTGTAATTAATTTGTTTTTAAATAAGTGTTGTTTGATGATTTGCTATTTTAAAAGAGTACAGAAAGTTTTTTACGCCGGATTTTTCTCTCGGCCTACAACCTCTGTCTTTTTTGCCGATGAGTAGGGATGCCTACAGATTCAAATTTAATGACATGGTATAAGTGATACCTGTATCTTAAGTTCCATAATAAACATTTTTTTATTTTATCCCCGGCTGTGCACCAATGGACTTTCTTTGTCCGCATTTAACATTCGCTCGAACGGTGAAAGAAAACATCAGATAATGCCCAAAAAGGACGACTGTACTTGTATTGAAATGACACTTAGATTTATGAACCCATATAAGCCAAGTTAGTTTTTGTTAGCGTCGCAACCCCATTACCCCTAATGTTATGTTAGTTATAAGCTCATATTTTAAACGATTGAAGTTAGTTTACACCCAGCAAACAAAGTGTTTCATTTAACATATATCTCAACATCTACTACAACCACAACCGAACGTAACTCGGGGCTGATAATTAAACAAAACACCAACGTTTTGTCTTTCGTTCTGCATCCCCAGAAGTTTTTTTAGCTCTATTCAGTATAATCTTTAAACTAGTAAAAATTAATAACACACTAAAGAACAGTTTGGAAACTAAAATTTCACTAACCATATTTTTTTTTAAATATAATACAAAATTATTGTTAATATTATGAACACCTAACCCCTCTAAAAGTTTAACTCACCTATACTGTGCCTCGCACGTCAAATGTGCGCAAAAGTGCGCGTACGTGTGCGTATGAGCGGGCGCGCACGTGTTAAGCAAGGCGGCCAATCCCAACGGCTTTAGGCGACTTATGTGTTGACGCCAACGTTGTTCGTCAAATTCTACGCGAAATGGCGCATTTTGGTCATGTGTCAGGTCTAGAACCTATCAATGGGTAAATATAAAGTGGAATTATGCATATAGATGATTAAAAACGAACAGTTATAGTACCAATTTTAGAGCAGCGTGCGTTCAAACCGCGCCGTATTTTTATGCGCAATTAACTAAGTAACTAAATCGCCTTAAACCTAAAATTCCATGACAGTAAAATATAAATATTTAAATGATTTGTAGTCAGAGAAAAAAAGTATAAAAAAGTAAATTTACAATATCACACAAATAATTACCTAATGTACAATACGTGTATACATTAGGTAATTATTTTTGGACAGTAGTTTCGCTTTGTTAGGGCCACTCCCAAAGCAAATTTTTTCGCACCATTGGTATTTTAAACACAATTATTATTTTAGTGAGAATCGAACATATAAACTCCAACATATGCCTCGTGTCAAAACTACTAAATCAGGCAATTCACTACATTATTAAATTAATATTGTAGAAATATATTTAAAAATAATACCTCAACTATCGTTGAAGGTTCCGGCGTGTTTTTCTCTCCTAGTTGGTCCAATGTTGTATCACTATGATGACCCATGGAACCCACTAAACTAGTTTTACTCGAATTGTTCGACGTCGGGCTTGAATTGCGAAGAAAAAAAACTTTCTCCGCAGTCGGGTTAGGCCAGGAAAGAATTCCTTTTTTATCTACACAGCATAACGCCTGGAAATTATGAAAATCTAATAAATTCTCAAATCTGCAAATAGAAATTCATCTATTAACAGTAATGGTATATTTTACGTAAGAAATTGTGGCGTTAATCTAAGTAATAATTGAAGCAATTCATTCAATACAAGTAAATTCAAAGATTTTTGAATCCCTCTATTACTGTAAATAGGCTAAAAAAATTGAAAATTTTAATCGAGTGTTCTATCCTAATTCTGCGGCATACAATGTTTATTTGACTTGAAATTCCCCAACATGTACTGAAGACTTAAGTAAATTGATCTACCGTTTTCCAAAATATAATTCATAAACTACACACACCGTGAAATGTACATAAATACATTCGTTTTCAGTAAAATAGTATATGATAATAATAAATTAGGTTTACTTAGTTAAATGTTTTTAATATTTTAATTTACTTTTTCCTTTTGTAAATGTTTGAACCTTTTTGTATTTATTATGTATTCTTGGCTATATCTTTAGTAAAATTTTAGGTGTAGGAGTACGAAATAAATAATAGTATATTGCTTTAACTGGATGAAAATATTGCAACAACATTTAATTCACCTACCGATAAGGATCCTAAAACGTGAACAATGTTAGAGGTACGGGTGACCATATCTTCTCTGCCTAGGAGAATATTAAAAAAAGTCTTTCCGAATGTCCGAATTCCTCGCGGGTGTAGCGTCGTTTCACTGAGTGCCTGTATCAATGGGTCACTGGCATCCTCAGATATGGAACAGGACTTTGGGCGTACATACTTTTGACGGACCTCGGATATTGATTTGAATCTGTGGGTTAAATTTCTTACATACTTATTCAATACTAAATCATCTAAAGCATTCATCTCTTTTTATCATAGTGTAAACACAATTGAACGATAAGAAACATACTTTCGTTAAATAAGTGAAATTAGGTTTGATTATAGGGGTATGGCGTGTTCAACAAATAAAACTTACTACTACCAGATTGAGGGTACTTCCAAAACCGTTAATATAGTCGTGATGCTACATAAAAAAAATCCAAATTAAAAGGCGATCAATTGTCACTATTCCTTTAGTTTAAAAACTATATAGAAAAATTAATCGCAAAATAAGTTGCTAAGCGCAAAACTTGAAGACAGCTGGACCAATTCGAGTATTTTTTAATCTTCGAACTCCGAGGAAGGTATTTATGGAAAAAATTAAAAAAAATTGTTTTATTTAGTACGAAGTATAGCAAAATGTTCCATAAGTTCGCGGGGGCATTAATTAATAAAATTGTCAAAGACTTCTATAGACTATAATTGTAGTTTAAGTGTATAAGTGCGTCTTACTGCTTTGTTATGCAATATTAAAATTTTACACTATGACATATTATATAGAAGAATACTAATTAACACTTTATTAATATCATTACCATAAACAAAAAAGATCAGACAATAGTGTACCTTGCCAGTCCATAACAGTTCAGCGTGACCCATGCGATTGGAAAAATTATTTGCAGTAGTGGAAGCGATGCGGCAATTGTTTGTATGAAATATATTTCTGTCCAATGTGTAACGCCCGGTAAGTGATAAATATGGCGAAACAAACTAGCCACTACCATCAACAGAATAACTAATGGTAGTACTATCCCCTCCATAACTTTCACTGTGCACTGTAAAATATCATATTTCTTTAAAAAACTAGCTGACCCGGCAAACGTTTGTATTGCCATGTATATTATTTCTAGGAAACATTTTTTTAGTTTAATGAAAATAACTATCTACAAAAATAAAAAATAGGGGTTAATCGTAGAGGGTAGATGAAAATGAAGGGTTGTATGTTGTATCATAAAAAAATAAAAACAAAAAAATTTGGGGTGGACATCCCTTATCACTTAGGGGTTTGAAAGATTGTCCCGATATCGCCACTAATTTTAGGGCCGTGTGTAGGCGGTTTAAGTATATATATACCTAGGTAACACTAAATTTTTTTAGAAAATGAAAAACGGCTTAATGTAGAAAGTTGCTAATACTTTTATTGTTTTTCCAAGTAATCTCCGTTCCTCTCTACACATCGTTGCATTCGATAGAACCACTGAGAAAAGCAGTGGGCCCATTCTTCCTTAGGGGTCTTTTCTATGGCATTTTCGTACGCTTTCACCGCATCTTCAGGGCTCGTAAAGCGAATACCTCAAATTTTATCTTTAGTTTTGGGTTCATAGCAATATATCCAGCTTTCATCACCTGTGACGATGTCAAATACAGCATTTAAGTCACCTGATCCCCGTTAACCTGTGTCAACGTTGCGCGAATGATGACTCCGACAATATCGACATCTTTATATGTGTGTGTGAGTTCACAGTAGCGATATTATGTATTTAATATTATATATTTTATTATATTGGATTTTTTTTTGTTTTCTATTATGTAAATATATAAATAAACATTTTTTATATTTAGGAGCTTTACAACGGGGGCAAACGTGCAGGCTCACCTCATTTATGTGATACCGCCAAGGACACTCACAATGCCAGACGGCTTGTAACAGCGTTGACGGTCTTATAAGAGACTAACTGCCAAAGCTTCATTTACAAGATTTTTATGCTCTCAATATAGATTATTTAATTTAATGAATATAACTTGTTTTCATTATTAATAACACAATAACACGGCATGTGTTGCAAATACTAACGGCCCGTCCCGCCTTTACACGGGTGGACGGGAGATTTTTATAAATCTTTTTGTAGATATTGATGTTCTTTAATATTGTGAAAAAAAATTTTGATCTATCATCAATAGTTTTCGCAGCGCATGCGATGACAGATATTTTATAGGCATTTTTATATATTAATCTGTGATAATGTAGCAATCAAATGGTGAGAGGATTTTTAAAATCGGTCCAGTACTTTTCGAGACAATTCGTTACAAACATACTTACATATACTATACAAGTAACAATCACAAATGGACAAAAAATAAAATTAAGGTAACTTACCAAATATCTCTGTTTCTCAAAGACTGTGACTGGTCGAATAGTGGCTTGTTCTAGAGCTAGCTTCAGATTCTTTAAGTATGGAGTCTCCAGCATTCGATATGCTTTATTCTGGTGTGGCACACGAGATCTTGGTACACTTGAGTTATCTTTAACCTGGAAGATTAATTTTATTTGTCAAATCTAAAAGAAATTGTGTATGTTTCCTCATGAATAGACATTATTGTATCTATTTTTAAAGATCTAAGTAGATAATCAGCCTTATGTGCCATTGATATAGATATATTTTCGAACTTATTAGTGCACCTTATAGGCCGCCAATCCAGGAAAGGAACAATATGATCTTTGTAAGTCCAGATCCAAGTAACATTGATTTTGAAAAAATAATGTATGCTTAACTAAACTTTAAAAATCAAGCAAAACCTTGGCAAACTCTATGGTTTCATAGAAATTAAACAGTGAATTACTCTGATTTTCAAATATTAGTGATTATGATTATTAATATCTTTGTAAAAAAAATACTTCCCTATATAGTCTGGAAAGATAATGAAAAGAAGCTACTTTAAAAATATCAAAGACAATTTGAGTTAAGATATAAGAGTAATCTACAACATATTTTATTGACCTAAGTATATTATGAATAGTTTGAAAAAATGTTAGGTGGTTATTGATTCAACATTCTGACATCACTGAACTGCCAGGCCGTAGCCATTGGCCATACACTTTTCTATATATTGCTAACCTGTGATGCTGGTGTGAATATTTGTCCAAAAAAGAGCTCTGGGTCATCTGAATTTAGTCCTTGACAGTGTCCAGGCACTTCCTGCCCTGGTCTTAACACTATAACATCACCTTCCACTAACAGTGCCCATGGCAGATTCACAATAGTGCCTGGAATATATTATTGTAAGGTATTCATAGGTTTGTATAAATACCAAATGTTTTTTTCAGAGACCTAACACTTTATATATATATATATATATATACATATATTTAACACTTAACTGCACTTTTGATAAAAACATTACATTATTATTAGTAAGCCATCACACACATGTTTCATCAGATGGCCCTTATTGATAATAGATGTAGACTGTAGTTTTAAAAATAAGCTATATATAATGGGGGGGAATTTAAAGCCAGAAGTGCAAGAATATTACATAAGAAGCTTTAAACTATTCTTTATATAAAACTGTTTTACTGATTAGTCCAAAAATCATTTCTTATTTACTCAAGTTAAAAGTTTTATTATCATGTAAATTTTGTTTTTCATAAAAAAATACCATCTCGATATGTCCACTGTAGAATAACACATGGTGAAAAGGGAGCACACAAATGAGGGTAGTATTCATTTTTCCAAAGGCATTGTTGAATTGCTTCATTTAATGTTTCTACAAGGAAAAATTCATTGTTTCAATTCATATATCATCTAAAGTATTATGTTTTATAAATAAAAAATAACATATGCACAATAATAAGGGAGCCAACTATAAACCAATATAGTAGTGATACAAATATTAAGACATACAGAATGTAAACAAAATAATAGCAAGTTACTAGCTTCCATATTCCTAAACTTATTTTTTTCTACAATTTGAATTTGTTCTATATACTTACCAAGTACTTTTGCTACTCTGTGAGGTATTTCATTTCTATGTAAGTATTCCTCATTTAATGCAACCAAAAAGTTTACAATTAATATAAAAAATAGGAACAATGCTTCCCATAGTAAGTAGCCTTGAGCCAACACCGTGCCATCTATTAAATATGTTAGGATCAAGCAAATAATATTTATAATTGTAACTGTGTATGCTACACCCGATAGAAGTACTTTTTCTGATGAAAAAGATATAATGTTACGTATAACATCTAACCTGGAACATATATTTTTTTCTGTTATTATATGATTTTTTGTGTTAAGTAATGCCTCACAAGATTATGACAATGTAATTAACCAGGTAACTATATATGTGGATAGCATGTGACTTTGCACAAATACAGTATAGCAATCATAGCATACATGGAACTCATTAATTAATTTCAGAGAGTTATGGCTAGTTTTTTTTAGTTAGCGTAAAAAATAGTTTCGAGTATGTATTTGTTTGTAAAATTCGATTGAATTGACAAAGGTAAGAAAAGCATAAAAGTATAGGCACAACCTGAGAGGATTCTTCTGTTTATGTTCTTTGATTACATTATTTATATCATCACGTAACTTTTGTAATGATCTTTTAGTAGAATAACCAAGTATTTGGTCATTATCACCCATTTTATTTTATTTTTATAACATGTACGCATAATTGATTCCAATTTTTTTATTAAATTTTAGATATAATATTTAACATAACGCTAACTTTTGTATGCAGGTATTAAAACCGCAATGATAATTTAAATAATAATTGATATTTCGGACATATTATTAAAATAATAAATGTAATTTGAAAAATTATGTAAACCTGACTTTTGTTTATTGTTTATACTACTGCCACAGATTGAGATATGTTTAAACTTTACAGTGTGTATGTCTTTGATAAACTTAGATAAAGTTCTATAGATTAAGTCACTGCAAAGCTAATGGCACTCGGCTGATAGTCTGTGCGGAAACAGAACCGTCGTGGAATTTTAAGTCGCAGCAGTGCTAAACTACCTATTTTATTATATTGAAACTGTTACGTCAGAATACCACAACATTAATATTGATAGTTAATATGATGCATGTAGTCCATGTATTATGTACTATTTGTCGGTAAGCACGGCAGGGGCTTGAGACCAAATCACTTTTGCAACAGGCGTGACGCATTAACTTTAAACAAATTTGTATGGAAACGGCAGTTAACAGTAGCTCACGCTCTATCTCATGAACATTTACAGACAAATTCCTTTGCAATTGTGGGTCCCACCTGTCAAAGAATATAGTTGTTTGGTTGTAGCCTATTATATTATACATTTGTGTATTTAGTATGTTGTTAGCATTACTATGTCATTTTAATTATCTTTGAATATATAGTTTTTCATATTTTTTTTACGAATACTTACACTAATTTAGAATTTAAGCCTTTTCTCTTATACAATGTAAAAAAACGTTATTCCATTTTTTTTGATAGTGCAAGGATATAGGTGTAATTTGCTCATTATCGTAACAGTACAAGGTAAATGTAATTAATTAAATACACAATTTTTTCATACAAACAAATTCAGGTAGAAATTGGTCGATAAGGTTAACACCATTGCAAATTCGTTCATACTAGATGACGGTGAAACACGGTAAAGGCCGATTTACATTATCTTAGTGTTTAGGATAGTGCTTTAGTACAACTTGAAAGGCAAGTTCTTTAGTGCTTTAGTGTGTTGCGAGTGAACGTTTACATTTCTTCCAGTAGAGTATCATTACAGCGCCACAATGAACGCGCAACGACGTCGGCAAATACGCTCTATTCTACGCAAAATACTAACTGTAGTTATGGAACAAATAGAAGACGAGATTTTATTCGAAATAAATAAACTAAATATAAATAATAAACAAAATAGCTTCTTTTAAGGCAGTGTATGCCGAATGCCTAGCCGGTTTGTTTTTGTATAAATTGTTTTTAACGTTCCACAAACATTCGTGAACAACATATTCAGACACAAATTTGATAGTTGTATCTTCCGACCATTTAGCCATCTTTAAAAATCAAAAAACACGCACGCGTTTTACGGCACTTATGCACTCTCCTAAAGATTTGACTAAATTACGTGTTTACACACAACGAGGGAAGATCTCGGGGGGTGCGCGGGCGCGGGAGGGGTATCACTTGAAACAAAAATAAAAAGCGATTCTATTTTGATTCAACTTGACAGTCAAGTAGAACCGTACTAAAGCAAGTAGCGTTTACATGTTTCAACTAAAGTACTATCCTAAAGCACTCTCCTAAACACTAAGATAATGTAAATCGGCCTTAACGCAGCGCGTTGGCGTGCTAGTTCGTTAGGTATAAAAGAATACTTACTGGGGCGTAAATATTATCGCTTGTTTCGAAATAATAACAAATTCAGATTAAGAGGACACGATTGTTTATTTTTAGATGTTCAGAAGTGATGTATGAATATCGTTATTTTTCATCGCAAAGTTCCTTACGAATCTCTCACACAAAACATATCATCAGCGAAAAATAGGCAGCGAGGTGCTTTTGATGTTTCTAAAATTGTATGTAACGCGCAAATTTCCTAGGACTCTAAATACCAAACTAAGATAAATGTATCTTTGTAATAAATTCATTAGGTTCACGTTTGATTTGGTTAACTCACATAATTATACTAACATTAACCATACGTATTCTAGCATCATATGATTTTGTGATCTTCATTATTAAGTTTATCTTTTTTGTTCAATATTATATAAAATTGAGAGGTATGTGTGTGAGGGTTGCATTTTATCACCTTCGCTATTTAACTTGTATACCGATGCAATATTTTCAGAAGCATTGGATAATTGTCCACATGGCATAGCAATGGTTGGCAAACAACTGAATAACTTAAGATACGCTGATTACATGACCTTAATCGCAGAGAGCCTCGATGGTACAGACTTTAGTCAATTCAGTAGCCGTGAATTTGATAATAGATTCATCGCGATAAAGTCAAAATACATGACAATAAGCCGAACACCAGAGCTTTTCACTCAACTATTATACACCCAATACAATCAGACCTTGGAAAGTGTCTCGAAAACACGATATCTAGCCACAGTAGTTTATGAAAAGGGTGACCATAGCATCGAAATCCGCTGTAGAATTGAACAAGAGCGGTACGCCTTATCAAATCTAAAAAAAGTATTTTGTGACAAGCACCTAAATTTATAGTTTAAAACTCTCATTGCGCGATGTTACGTCTTCTCTGTGCTGTCTACGGCATACAATCTTGGACACTGACTATGTCCTAAAAACTGGAAGCGTCCGAGGTCTGGGTCGACGTATGCTTAAAATATCTTGGACAGACAACATACGAAATACAACCGTGCTGGAAAGAATGCAGAAGAAAGGAAAAGCAAACTTGAGTATTTCAAACACGTCTTACGTAACACCAAAAAAAAGATCTCCTTCATCTTATCATACAAGGCAAAGTGGCAAGTAGAAGGAGACCTAGCCGCATCGCCCTTAGGTTGAAAAATATAAGACAATTGTTTGGTCAAAGCACCAAGTCATTGTTTAGAAGCGCGGCATCCAACATTAAAGTAGCTATGATGATCGCCAACCTAGAAAAAGATATAAAATTGAAAAGCTGATACGATGACAAATAATTTTATTCAAATATATCTATCTCAAGCGGCTAAGCGAACTCTCGGTCTACTATGAACTTACTCTAAGATCTTAATAATTGTTGACAGTTGACATTTGACAACGAGTGAAGTTGACGTTTACAGAAAACTAAGAAACGATTTAAAGTTTTTCAGTTTTCTTTTGATTTAAAATAAGTAAGTACTTAGCAGGCTAGCCACGAAATTTCAGTTTCCTTAGTTTATTAAAACTCGAGAGTTGTTCGCGTTGTTTAATGATATGTTCACGTTACTTAGCGAAATGACCTGTGACAGGAGTTAAATATTCGGCTCCACGGCCGTGTCTCGTCACTTTGCCAGTCAGTCAGTCTCGCGTCAACATTTCAAGTGCAGTGCGCCATTGAGCTTGCAAGATAAAAAAAGGAATGTGTTTATCGTTTCTCGTAATTTTGTTTTAACAAGGACTAGTGTTCGTAATGTGGCAAATGGAAAACTTTTAGCACGTATCAGTTATGGCAGAGTGTATAGAACTTCGTAAGATATTAAAGTGTTGTTTTAGACCGACGAGAGGATCACAGTTACGGATATGGACCTTGTGTTTTATAATATTAGGGCTTCCCAGCATATATTCGTCATGTCATTTTGTTGGCACATATCCACCAGGCACAATAAATGTATTATATGGTCAACCCTTGGAAATATTTTGTGTTGCTGAGAAAAACTATTCATCTAGAGATATTGAATTTTCACTTTATGGCAAGCAGCTTGAATCTCAAATAGTGAACAGTACAACTATTAGGCTATATATAGATAAACCTGAAAAACAAGTAAATACTTACTATTGTAAAAATACTAAATCTGGAAAAAATTGTATCAACAGAGTATTAGTGGACTCACTTCCTCCGAATGTAACAGATTTTAAATGTATTTCAAACAATCTGGAAATCTTAAATTGTTCATGGATAAAAGCTGATACTGAGAGTGCTTTAAGATATAATTTGACATTTGAATCTAATGGAAACTTTGTAACTCCTTGTACTGTGCAAATGGTAGAAAATTCAAAGACCAGATATTGTATATGGAACTCTCATAGTTTCCCCAGATACAGGGAGCAAGAAAAAGTATTTTTTTTTGTAATGGAAACTTGTAACTATTTTGGGTGCAATAGTCAGAACTACAGCATAGACCATTATTCTATAGTAAGACCTGATCGCCCATCAAATTTAAAATCAGTTAAGATTGGCACACATAGTGTCCTTCTAAAGTGGAATGTTCCAAATACTATTGTTGACTTTTTAGACTGTGGAGTAGTTCATAAAATAGAATATCAAATAGAAAAAATAGACAATACTACTTTTTTCCACGAAGTTAATGCATCATCCTTGCCTCTTAAGAATAAGACTTATAAGTTTAATCTAACATTGCCATATGCCCATATGAAGTATGAAGTAAGGATTTCTATTAAATCAAAAAAAGCACCAGATTCAAAAGAATTTTGGTCTGAAAATAGCTTTTTAATATTCTACACAGATAGTGAACCTCCTCAAAGGCCTCCAGATACTTGTGCAGGTGCATTTGACAGATCTGTTTTTGTTGGAAATTATAGAATGATATATATTTACTGGAAGCAATTAGAAGATTATGAACAAGCTGGAGCAAATTTTACATATAAAGTATTAGTGTCACAAGATAATAAAACACAGATTTTGTTTCCTGACAAAAATAAAAGTTTAAGTTATGTGATGCTTAACGCTTCTGTAAGTTCAATGGATGTTACAATTTGGTCTTTTAACCAAATAGGCTCATCTGTAAACAGTAGTTACTTATACATACCTTCTGAAAAGAATATAGAGTCTTTAGGTTTGACATCATTTACAAAATTAGCTTATGAAAATGGAACATATGAATTAGCTTGGGGTGGAAGTAAAGAAATTGATAACTATACTATGTTTTGGTGTCAACATAACAGTACAAATATATGCATTGGCCAAATGAATTATACTGTTCTCGATCCCACAAAAAGCCGTTTTGCTATAGATCTTCCAAGAGAACACAGATATCAATTTGCTATATCAGCTAACAATGGGACTACTACAAGTGGAATAGTGTGGGCTAAATGTGATATTTCAAAAGAGGGTTTTGTTATGTATCGTTTTAACATGCACTTGAAATATGACATCCCTGGTAAGACATTTGTAAACCTTAAATGGGAGATGGAATGTGTTTTACAAGATGGCATCATAACTGGATATAACATTAGCTACTGTCCAACTTTGCGGACCGGTCCAAATTGTGATAAATCTTTTGAAACTAAACATGTATATATTTCCAATCCTAAACAGACTAACAAAATAATAGAAGGATTATTACCATTTAGAACATATCAATTTTCTATTGCAATAAATACAATTTTTGGACAAAAAACTGTTGAAAATGCATCAGCACAGGTAACTACATCTGAAGATACACCTACAAGTCCTGTGAATCTAGTAATTTCAGATGTTACAAATAATTCATTGGTGATAGCTTGGGATCCACCATATCAGAGGAATGGTAATATTGGAAAATATGTAGTAAACAACTTCAATAAGGAGATCTATGTTGATAAAGTGTCAGAAACAGATAAATCAAGAAGAACTGTGACTTTAACAGGTCTACAAGCTTTTACCAATTATTCATTAACCGTGCAGGCATGTAATATTCCAATTAATGTATGTTCTAAACATAGTCTAGCTTTATATGTGAGGACTGCAATTGGTCCTCCTAGTAGGATAAAAGCACCAACAACTATTCTAAATAATCCCGATAAACTTAGATGGGAACCTCCTGAAATACCAGGAGGCACATTAGATCGTTATCAAATAAAAATTATTAAAGATTATAACTTACCTGAAATCATAAACACCACTAATCTATTATACACATTTATACATTGTGAAGGAGGAGTTTCTACCGAAACTTATCAAGTTAGGGCAGTGAATTTTGATAATGATTTATATCATGGTGTAAAAGGAGATGCTATTTTGATACCAAGATTAAGTCCGGATAGTGATGAATATCTTGGGCCATGGAGTGAACCAACTACAGTAGCATGTAGAAGCAGAGATGGTTTTACTATGATTATAATTTTCATGGTTGTTTTTGCACTAGTTGGTTTTGGATATGGCTCTATTAAACTTTACAAAAAGTATAGGAAAATGGAGGATATCAAACCAGTTTTACCTTATGGCTTAGGCGAACCAGAAAAAGACAGAAGTAAGTTTCCCTATCCTGAATGGAATCCATCTACAAAAGATGAAAAACCCTCATCAGATGAAATGTTACTATTACCAAATACCAAAAGTAACACTGTATCAACCACAGATATAAAACAAAAAGATGACAATTGTGCTGCTAGTGATCATACAGATAGTACTGCACTCTCAGATTCTTCTATAGGCCCTGTTGACAGACAAATATCTACATCAGATGATGGTTCTGAGTCATCTTTACATATTGAAGCAGATACTGATAAGGGTGACGAAAATACTATAGTGCAAGAAGAGTCATCTGAAGTTGACTCAGAAAGTTCTAGAGAAAATTCACCCTATTTCAGTGATAAGACTTTCAAGAAAAACCCGAATAGTGGTTATGTTCAACCAGTTGTTAGTGCTACAAGTGGTTACGTACAATCGGCGCCTGCCCCACTAAAGAACTCTCAATTAGCTACATACCCACAAGCAACAACATCAAGCTATGTCATGGCAGGTTTGCCACCACCTTTGTTCACATCACGTCCAAATCCTGTACTAACATCTGGTTATGTAATGCCGGAAGAAGTCCAGGCCAAATCAATTATGAGTTCTCCAAAGATAATGTCAGGAAACCCTAAAGACTTGGGGCCAGAAAGCTTGCCAACTTTGCCTACCTTGCCACCTTCAGTCAAGCCCAGCACAGATAGTAGTTATATTCAATTGCAGTCATTGGATTCATTGCCTAGTCTTAAGTCAGTACGTAATACAGTGCCATTAAAACCGCCCGCGTCGAGTGGTTATATAACTCCGGGTGACGTTGTCATAAACAAGCACCTCAACAATATGATGACCGCTGGACATCTCCCGGAGGATTCTGCCATATTAGATCCAACTATGTCCCCCGATGCATACTGTCGGTTTTCGTGGAGTACAGATCCCGCCAATGATAACCTACACTCATTGCTCACCGACTCGCCTACAAGAAATATCTCAAAAAATTAATTTACGTCAACGTTTGTGACACAGTACTGATAAACGTATGTAGTGATTTGTAGTATGTACATATATGTAGCTTAAAAAGTGGACATTATAATTTAATACGACGAAGATAATATTTTTTATAGTGATAATACTCGTGCCTTATTAATTTATTTTAGGTCATTAAATAAAACACTATAGGTAAGACATAATGTCTCAAATTTACAAACCCGTGTAGTAAATTTCATGAAATTGCACCGTTTGTGAAAGTTTTTGTATTGTTTCAGAAGATTTGTATCTAATCTTAAATAAGTTGATATGGAGGGTACCTACAATATTAATTTAATACCAAACGATCTGAGCGTTGAAGAAACAATTCTTCAGATTGCCGATGCTTTAGATAATCTTAACGGAATAGTCGATGACGTGTTTACACGGATATCTACAAAAATTAATAAGAATATGAACAAAACAATGGAACTTCAAACCAGAATTGATACGTCTAAAACAAAAGTGGATAAACTTGCTGGAATGCAAAAGGCTATAAAAGTGTTCTCTAGTGCTAAATATCCTGCATCGATTGTACATGAACATTATCAATCCATCTTCGACAAAAACACATACCATTATGAACCTAAAAAGGTTACGCTTAGCGGCAAATCGAAGAGACCGTCTAATGAAAAAGGAATACAGGTATGGTGTGGCTTTAAACTGTGGTGTTTTATTCATTGCTTATCTCGACTAATAACTCGTCTCTTTATAGGAAAAGCTTCATTTCTTCCACGTAAAAGTGGCGGAACCGAAAAGCACAAGACATAAACAGGAAAACCAGTTGAAAACGGTGATTGAGAAAGTGTCTTCTGTGGGTGAATTACTGATTTTCAATACAGATGAAAGTCCCTACATCGGACTGCCCAGCAAACAACAGGCCTATGTTCCGAGAGCAGTCACTGATGTGAAAAAGACAGTTTTGGATGAAGCACCACCATCTATCATGAAAGGCAATGTACTGGCGAGAGAAATTGACGAGTATATGTACGCACCGGGTATGGGAATGGTATGTAACATTTTTGATATAAAATAATTAAACGCCATCGAGTCTTCGCGAGTCTTTGTACCAAAATAAACTAATATTACGTAAATAGCAGTCATACACAACAATACTGCATAAAAGTTCATTAAAATCAAGTAGTTTAGATGGTGAAAATAAAACCTGTTTTAAAATTAGACAAATCTTAAAATTCGTTATGAAATTTTTAAATAAACTAAATTTGATAAATTTTTGATTGACCGATGAAATTAATGTTTGTTTCACTGATTTGCCTTATATGATTTTTTTCATTATGTTACGATAGTGATCGCAGGAGAAATAACGAAATGAGAATGACGCATAGCGCATTATATATGTATTAGAAATATAAAATGGGTAACAAGTGTGACTAATGATAATATCCATATATTATAGCTTCGATGTTTTATTTAGGTAAAAATTTACATTTTTCGTTCAAAATATTATATTTAAAAAAATATTGCCTGTGTTCTAGTACTACATAATCAAGATAACATTAAGTCCATGCCACTAAGTTTAATATTAGTACACGACCTCAGACATAGTGAAGGGTTCCTCCAAATTTTTACACTTCCACACTCTCTCACCATCTCCACCATTTTCCAATACTAGCTATCCCTTTTATTCCATCTATATGCAATATGGAATACATTATATTCGTCTACCAATCAATGATTCATATTCCGACTGATTTTATTTATTCAATTCGGCCCGAATAATATTTTGAATATCATTTATATTCACATCTGACTATACTAGACCGAAGCTTGTTATATTAAATTCGTCATATGTTATTGATATATATACCCTTTTAGCATACTCTAAATTTTTAGAGAAATTGCCATAACCAAATAGTCGTAATTAAATGTCAACATGTGTGTCGTACAGGCTCTGGGGAGTGCACTGTAAAATTTTCTAATTACGCAACTACAGAAAACAGTTTATTGTTTACCATATTATATGTAGTTGTTATGTTATGTAAATCTAATATATAAAATTCTCGTGTAACAATGTTCGTTCCCATACTCCTCCGAAACGGCTAGACCGATTCTTATGAAATTTTTTCTGCATATTCAGTAAGTCTGAGAATCAGCTACTATCTATCTTTCGAACCCCATAAATTTTTATATTTTAGATTAAAAAAAAATGTTTTTATTTTTTTATGATACAGCATATAAAAATACACACAACCCTTAATTTTCACCCCTCTACGATCAACCCCTATTTTTTATTTGTTAATTAAAATCTTATGACTTGAAGGTTTATATAGAGAAAAGTTCAAAGAAAAACCTAAGAAGTTTTTATACCAGAAAACCGAACAATCTCTGGGTTACGTACGTATACGTACTAAAAAGGTAGGCTAAGTAAAATCACATTAAGGAGAAACGAAGTTCGCTGGGGCAGCTAGTAATATTTACAAAGATATAAATAAACGATATTTCAATTTAAATTTGCCCTGTTCGGTTTCGAAAAATACTATTATATATTCTGTGAAACATAATTTAGTGTTTAGAAGTTTAAAGAGAACGAGTATTTTACGAATACTATTATTTCTCGGATGAAGAATGAGGCCGATGTGTTAAAAAGAAAAGGATATATAACTAAATATGAAAAACGGCCTTTTAATTTCTTAGTGTAAAGAAAATACTTTTCTACAGGTACCGGAACTAGACATGCCACTTGACCTCCCTCATCTACCAGGAGTGGCTGGCGATATCCAATATTCATTCACCGATGATGGTTCCATCGCCCCATCCGCTGTAGCATCGCCTGTAGCACCCACAGTGACATTACCAGAACTCCCCGATGTCTCAGTACTGCCGGATGTTAAGCCAGATATCCCCGAAGTGGTGGAAGATGTAGTGGGTAAAGTGCCAGATGTACCTGATGCACCACCGGCTCCTCCGATGCCAGCTTCGATCCCGCCTCCGCCGCCCCCTCCACCGATGGACTTCGTAACACCTGTTAAAACTCGGTAAGTGCTAGTTTAAGTCTTATTTTTATTTTGAATAATATTAAATCGATGCAGCAAGTTTTTAGAATTTGCAAATCTAAAAATAAGATGTTGAATTCTTTTTTAATAGATGTTTTACGCATTACAAATTTCCGCAGTGGATGAGGGCAATGCCCTTACTTGCATTTGATAGTCTTCTGCAGGTTAAATTTAATTATGTTATTATGCGTGGTTTGTTATACTGATTAACGACCTATGTATCCAAGGTATTACTAGTTTTGTCCTCTAAACATAAATATAAATATCCGGCAGTAGGTTTCAAAAGCGACTCTTTTTGTAGCTTCGTACATATTTATACTAAAAACATACTACTGTATACTGTACTTCATACTATAAATATATGCAGTTTTTTAAGTTCGAAGTAATTAATACGAAACATTCTAAGTGTTTATTCATTTTTTAAGTACACCACACCATATATAATGCATTTTCTACAGCTACAAGCTTTATATTCTAAAATAAGAAAATTATGGTGAACGTAAGTTTAACAAAAAATAAAATTAATACATTTTCAATTTTAGTTTAAACTAGTAATTTTTTTTGTTGACGTAATTCCAATAAAAAGTAATTACTAACAATATGTCATTAACATTATCGTTAACTAAGCGAGCCCTTGGCAATGTAAAAATTACATCATTCACTTAGTTAAAAGCTAGTTTCCTTATTTACCACATTACATAATAGCTTATGTTTATTAAAATTGTATTTATTCTTGTATTTAAGGCTTTATAGTGAGTCGCGAATTGTTTTCTTAAACTTAATGCCGTGCGTTCGAATCGTGGTTGTGCTCCTTTGGTGCAGAGATGTTCATAAATTTTCCGTAATGCGTAGTTAACACTTACTGGTATGGTTAAAGAAAATATAATGAGGACCTACAAGTCTTTGTGCCTAATATCGAGGTCTCACAAGGCTGATCATATAGTTGCTGTTGAATGATAACCACGTATGTCCAGAGAACCAAACATTTCAGGAAACTAAAAAAATTTAAAATTTCGTCAATGTTCGTTAAAATATGATTATGTGTTTTTGTCCATTGCTTTAGATGGTAAAACTTACTTATTTATTAATAACATAAATAAGTCCTTACTTCATAATTATACGAGTAAAATGACATAAGAGTCTAAGAATTAAAAATAAAAGATTTTTTGACATACGACGTTATCAGTGACGATAATATGTTGCTTGTAGAATGATTACGGAACTTTAAAAAGCACTTTCTATGCAAAATAAGCGTGAGTTCACGCTTAAGTTATAAGTGCTTTCTATTAAATTATGTTCCAGCAAAATATTTAGGTTCCAAAGCAACATTATTAAAACTGCGCGAAAGACCGGTGCCTTACTGAGTTGAAGAAAAACGGAAAATAAAACTATTTTAAAGAATGCTACTTTAATAACGTCTATTCATAAATAATGGAGCTTTTATTAAGAAAACTTAAATACATACGACACATTTTCTCACTTATACCGATTCGACGATATAAGATCTGAATTTTAATGTCATCTTCTGTATAATTCATAGCGTGAAATTGTTAGGCCCATATAAGGTGACAAGTTATTGTCCATTATGATATCTAAAATTATTGAAATGCCCGTATATAATGCTTATTGACTGACTATAATTAGAGCCCGGGCGACCCGGACTCAACGGGAGACGCCGATCCCACCAGACCTAGTTTAAGTAAATTAAGTCCTTTTTTAGGAGAGGAAAGATTAGATACTCCCCTGCTGCTGAGTTTCTCGGCCATAAATCTGCGTCGCGTGATTGATAGACTCTTAGATGTGTTATTCATTCAAAGAATGACTATTTAAATGTATTAAAGAAAAGCTGTTTAAAAAGGCTTACTATAAAGTTAACGATTATCTAGTTGATAGAAGGACCTGGGACTAGTGCTAGACAGGCTACTTCTAATTAATTTGTTTTAAAATAAGTGTTGTTTGATGATTTGCTATTTTAAAAGAGTACCGAGAGCTTTTTCTCTCGGCCTACACCCGCTGTCTTCTTTGCCGATGAGTAGGGATGCCTACCTATTCAAATTTAATGACGTGGAATAAGTGATACCTGTATCTTATATTCCATAATAAACATATTTTATTTTATAAAAGGTGGCATGGAAGTCTGTAATAATAGGATCTCAATTCCTTAGATTTCGTTTTTAAAATATGTCCTCCGATTATTTAATGACGCCTGAATCATGTATTGTAAGTTCCTATATAACATGATCAGATTTAATAGAATTATAGTATTATAAAAAAATCCTCGATTTTTTAAGTCTTCAAAATGTATATTATGTTCTTAAGTTTTGTTGTGCTTTCGGAAAGCACAATGTCGAGCTGTTGATGAAGATGTATTATTTTAAACTTAAAATCATCAGAACGCATCGTTTTTTTACCTCCGTGACCCTACCATATGTTCCGAAAACTATTTACCGAAAGCTTATCATTAATCACTTTATCGCATGGTTGTTAAAAGCTAATCTTAATGGCTTCTCGGCCATATTTGTTAGACATTGGATACGTTCACAAGGGTGAAATTTCAATGGCAAGAAATACGAATTTCACTGGTTTAATAAGCCTCAATATCTCCATTGAACTTTGTCCATTCAGTTCTTGGCTTCTAGGAGTATAAAAACAAAAGCAATCCGCTGAATTATTCTATTGTTTTCATCATAAAAGCCCTTTGTCCCTGGTTCTATAAGAACTTAATCCCTTTCAATTGAATATACAGCTTATAAATGTAGCATACACGTGCTAGAATAACTTTCTACTTAGAAACTTTGATCCAAGACCTTTTTAATTCTAAAATCCCCTAGTTACTTAAAGCAAAATTTCATGTCCCCTCTCTGGCGGTGGTTTTGATTTGCCTTCCTTAGACAATCTAATTCTTGAAACTCTTACTCATAAAACTGAATTCTTTCACTCCTCCTTTACTGTGCAAAGTAGCCTGTTATGGAATTCCTTACCAATTGAAATCAGACGAGCTCAGTCTTTAAGTTTATTTAAAAATCTTCTTTTTGATCATTTTTCTTCTGCCTCGTAATTACTTCTTATTTATATTAATTGTGACTCAATTAACCCTTGGATTAGCTTATACATTTTTGTTTATACATATTATGGTTTCTTTTTTTATTGTTCCATATAAGGGTTGCCTAAAAGGAATCGCTTGTTAGCGATTAGGCCGCCCGTTGCCTAATAACTTATGTAACCTGCTTTTTTTATATGTATGTTTTTGTAGTAAAAGGTAACGAAGTGTAAATATTTATTTTATTATAAATAAGAATTTTCTGTCAATGTCTGGGGATTTATCTTTCCCAAGAACGATATCTCAGCTTCTTCAAGAGTTTTCCAACTTAATGCGCAGTGCGTCGTTTCCGTAAATTGTCGACTTGCGTTGAATTTAGATTCAGCTTCTCCGAGCTATTCCGATTCTTGTAACGTCCATATATTTTGTAAACCGGCTTCTATAGATGTTGCATTACGTGAATCGTAAGTGGCATCGTTAGAAGACGTTTTAGAAAGGTGTTTCGAGGAAAAATGTAAATCGAATGTACGCTAGCGGGATTAGAGTTATGGGTCACTTGACCCTAGGTTAGCCTGAGGAATATAAAATAGGCTAAATGTTGAATAAATATGCCATTCGGTGCGTTTTCGAGGCACGTACCGTCGTTTATTATCCAGTAATGTCTTGGTGATTTTACGGAAATGTTTTATTTGCTGGCGATGTTTTAATACATTTTGTTTAAGAAAACCCAGGGGCCCCTACGAACTTTTTGGACTCAGATTTCTGTATCTGTTTCCTGACGTGTCTGTTCCTGTGCTGTTTGCTTTTTGCCTCTGAGGCATGCCAGTTTTCTTCCACCGTACAAGTGATTATTAATTAATCTCACAGACAGTATAGTCGGTCCCAAAGTTCTGTCATAAATGGAAATAATGATAAAAACAAAAGTACTGATCAGTTTGTAATGAGTGATATATCAATTCTTAGTACATTAATTAAGGAATAAAAAAAGCATAAAAATATTCGAAATAACCTCCCTCATTTTTAATACAGGCCCTTAAGCGTCGCGGCCAGTCGTCTATCGCAGCACGCACCATATTCGTGTCGATTTCAGTCACTGGTTTTTTTAAAGATGACTTCAGATTCTCCAAATTTTCATGAGGTTTATCACAGACCTTCCTCTCTAAGCCCTGTCATAATTTCTGGTCCAAAGGATTAAGGTCCGGACTGGAGGAAGGCCAATCCTCATGTCTAATTAAGACGATGTTTTGACGCTCAAACCAGGCTTTAGTGGTCTTGGCTTTGTATGCAGACGCAGAGTCCTGCTGGAACACGAAGTGATGTCCCGCAAATAGGGTGCTGGACATGTCTTTGACAAGGCGATACAAAACCGTCTCTTGGTACACTGTAGCACTGGTTTTGACCCCCTTTTCGAAAAAATTAACCTCAGTTAGCCCGTAATAGGACACTCCCAACCAAACCATTACTGATGATGGATGATGTCCATGTTGCACCCTTGGAACTTTATTTTCAGCTTTTTCAGAACTCCTAGCGTACACTGTATAATTCTGTTTATTGTACTTCTCTTCAATATCGAAAAATTTTTCGTCCGTAAAGAGGATATCACGGTGTCGGTTTTTCGCGTACCGCTTAAACAACACCCGCGATCTCTTAAGCCTTATTGCTTTTAGACGAGCATTAAGTAAGTGCCCACTCTTTTTTGTATGCTCGTAGACCAAGATCTTCATTTAAAACCTTTTTTACTGTTTTCCTACTGACACCCATCTGCAAATCCATCAACTTCTGTTTTCGGACAGGATTTCTTACTATCCGCGCCTTGATAGCTTTGATTACTGCTGGTGTTCTTGCGGAGCGTGGCCAGCCAGTTCTTTTCTTGTCCTCAACACTGGAGACTTCAAGGTACCTATCAATAGTACCGTACACAAACCTAAGCGTTATATTCAAATTTT